TTACAGCAGTGTTTTCTAGCATCACTGCGTTTTCTAATATTATGTGACAGCCTGAGGCTAAGAACACCAATTCCTTTGGGTCCATTGGCAACGGTTTCTTAACAGAATTGTAATCAAGACATGCAAAGTATCTTATGATGTGAGCAATTTATATGTATTAAATTCAGACTATCTAGCCATAGTACATTCATGTTTCAAGGTAACATAAGTATTCTGTTAAAGAATGTGTGCTGACTCCCTATTAAGTACTGGGTACACTTGTGAGTATAATATATAAATGATTAAGAGAAAATGACATCTGTCACCAATTAACTGGCAGTATTTGAATATAATGATTGCACTATGATTAAGTAACATACTTCCAAGAGAATTACACCAACCTTTTAATAACACACAGCAGGGGCATGGGACTTAGCCTGATATATCCGGTCAGACTATTCTCTGACCTCAATCTCAAAAAGTTTAGGGAGGCATTAAACTGCTGGGCCTGTGTAGGAACTCCAAGCCCTTAAATATGAGATTTGAAGCTGGGCAGTGGAGGTGCACACCTTTAATCCCAGCACTTGAAAGGCAGAGAGAGGAAGGAGGATCTCTGTGAGTTCGAGGCCAGCCTGGTCTACAGAGTGAATGCCAGGACAGCCAAGGCTACACAGAGAAACCCTGTCTCAAAAAGAAAAAAGAAAAAAAGAAAAGAAAAAAAGGCACCTATGAAATAAGTATCGGTGGAGAACCTTCTTTGAAACACTAGCAAAGACTTTTTTAAAGCACCAAGTATACGCCTTGAATTCTATTAAATGCCTTCAACTATTACCTCACTTAACCTCCTGGAAACCCTCTGAATTAGGAATAATTACCTTGGGAGAGATGAAAGAGGAAGGGTAAACCAGCCTGACAATATTACAGAGCTAAGTGGAAGGAAACACAGAATTGGAACCCACACACGGCACATCTTAAATGTGGCCTCGAAGCCCTGTGGGTTGCTGCCTCTCCCAGTGAAGGCTGTAGGGGGAGCCATTGAAGGCTTTTTAGAGTAGGGATTGATTTACTACTGTTCAGAAGCACTGCCCTGACTGTGTGGAAGCCAGAGAGTCTAGACCTAAGTCCAGGAGGGGAAAGAGGCCTGTGGGAAAACAGGTGGTCAGTGGCATCAGCATACACTGGGCTGAGGGTGAAGACAGCTACAAGTGTCGTTTAGGCGGTAAAACCGACAGCTCTTAGTAATTAGAAAGAAGTAGTGGCCCAGCTACGTGCACGCATGTAATCCCAGCACTGGGGAGGCCTGAGGTCAGGAGCATGGGCGCAGCACAGCAGGCCAGCCTAGGCTACATGGTGTGACCACCTCTCAGAGGTTCAGAAGGAAAGCCCAAACTGTGCTTGGGGGGGGGGGCAGGTGACACCTGACTATCAGCTGCCAGAAGAAGCAATGGGTTTCAGCAAGTTATCTACAGAATGTCTCAAGTGCAAACAACATAAAAACAAATGGGGGGGGGGGGCCTCCCCTAAAACCAAAAGTCTAAAATTATGTCCTACTGGTCAGGAAATATTCTTGAAAGCATACGACAAAACAGCAAAAAAATATAAGCAGATATAAACATTTTCATTACTGTTTTACAGACCTGTCTAAGAGTTCGGGGAAAACATTCTTTAGTATGTTTTAAAAACTATTATTACATGCAGAGATCAATAAAGGCATCCCATGATTTTACAATGTGTCATTACACTGCAGTCTCACACAAACCTGTCTCCTTGACCCTCTCCCTCTAAATTTATAGTAAAGATTCATCTTTTACACAAACTATAATACGCGGCTGGGTATTCTTTTCATTCCCTGTCACCATTGCAACTTGCCAAGAACTTAGTTCATAACCTCCTACTTGACTTCCTATAAAATATGACCTACTTCACATCAGCTCATTTCAGTAACAGTTCCTAGCTCTTGAGCGTCCTGTTCGTCAAAAGGGGCCCTGGAAACCCCAGGGTGCATCTCAGCACATGTGGCAAGTTATTCCATTCCCATTCCACAGAGTTGGGAAACTGGCAGAGGAAACAGAATAACTTGGAAATAATCACAAAGACAGATGCCAAAAATAACAACTTTTAGCCAATCCATGAGAAAATACTGCCCCTAGCTGAAATAACATGAATTTAGTATTAGGAGGAAGTAAAATGCAAAATAATGCTTTCAAGCCAAGTTTTAATTTCTAAAAATGAGTGGACCTCAGAACTAAAACAGGTAAGAACTTTAAAGCAATCATTTTCTCCTAACGCTTCACTCCGCCATCACACCAAAGGTCACGGCAAATGCCATCTGGCAACGGCAGATTGCCCCTCTTGCTTTTTATCTAACCCGTAAGAGATAGTAGCAAAAATCTGAGTATTACGGTAAAACGTGATTCTAACATAAATTTAACTGTTTAAAATAAATACCCTAGAAGGGCTATGTAATAAAACAAATCTAAGAAATACAAGCCAGCCTCATAGCTTCCCTACACTCAGAGATAATAAATTTAAAGCTAAAATAGTCAATACTCAAAGTTTTCCAGCCACAGTCTATTCCAAATAGCTGCTGTCAGTTAAGGCACCGTTTTTATTTCATGAAGATTCTTACACGATCAATCAAAAGTATAAAAGTCTTGGAAGCAACACAACTCAAGTGTAAAACTCACTTTGTGGTGTCTTTGTGATCATTCTTTTTTGTTTTGCTTGTTTTTCGAGACAGGGTTTCTCTGTGCTGTGTAGCCTGTCCTGGCGCTCACTCTGTAGACCAGGTTGCCCTTGAACGCACAGAGATCCACCTGCCTCTGCCTCCCCAACGCCCAGCTGTTAAATGCACAAATCAGAGCAAACTACACTCCATTATTACACAGCATTCACATTGCACTTTCGGTCAGAACCAGGATGTGCCTGATTTTAACCTCAAGAGTCATGTACTAAGTATGAGATAAATGCAAATTCTCTCTCATACACACACACACACACACACACACACACACACACACACACCATGCATCATTCATAAAAAAACACGATTTCCACTCTGTGGGAGGGAAAATCAGCCTATCAATTCTAATCACCATGGTTTTAAAGTTTTCCATGCACTCATCAACAGCCCTTTGTGTACAACTTTAAACATATGAAGCTGCTCATGACTCTATGGTATCTTCCAAATGTAGTGATCAACTAATAGAAGAAAATTTCCTGAGCTATACATTCCAATTAACAAGCCTGACACATTATTCTTAGCACAATAATTCAGGCCATTAGTGTACAATAACCTACACCACACCCCCTAGCCATCACGCCAAGCTTTTAACATTACCATAACAATAAGAGCTGAAAACAGCTTAATGCTCCTGTAACATAAGGAAGTATCTTTAAGATAGCCCAACTAAAAGCTATCACTGTCTTTTGACTGCCTGTAATTAATGTATTCCACAAAGATGCTAAAAGCAGTACTCATCAAACCAAAACTGCCTCTGCTCTTTGGTACCTGATCCCACTTTGGGAACTGGAGCTGCCTGCCACACATCCACAGAAATAAAAACCACGAACTGCACATTCAAACAATCATAAACGGTAAACTCCAATTTAAATTAAAAGGCAAACCATTTATCAAAAACCATTTGTCAAGAACGTGATTTCACTTCCTTATAAAGCAGGAATAAGAAAACAAACTGTAGATCTAGATTCGGGGGAGGGGGGAGAACACACAAAATACAATTCTCCACCCCAACATTCATAAGTTTTCAACATCAAAAATTCATTCACCTCCTAGTCACACAAATGAATATCCACTGTGAATATTTGAAACTATTCTCTAACACCAACAGGGGAGAAGAAGAAAAAAACAATACCTTTGCGTCTACTTCTAACACTCTTCCAATGCGCCCTCCATCAATCCGCCACTGCGGATGCACTTGGCCTTGGGCCGTTCAGAAGCCAATGACGGAGGGCGATAACCATTGACAAGAATCTAGCTCCTTCCCCAGCGCTACTGTTACCAAGCAAAACAATCACCGGCCCAGAAAGATGGCAAAGCCGTCTTCATCCAGGAGGGCGGGTGTGGTGGTGGGGTGCTAGTGTTGGTATCAGGGTGACCGAGAGAAAGGGGTGCGAAGGGAAGCAAGGGCGCGGGGGTGCAAACTTAAGTGCCCCCCCAGCATGCATGCATCCATCCATGCATCCATCCATGCATCCATCGAGCAGGCTCCAACAACAAAAGCAAAGCACAGACTGACGAGAGAGTGTGTGCACGCCTGGAAGCACCAGATGGAGGAGTCCCCGGGGCTCAGACAGTTCAGCACACACAGCGGGCAGTGCGCAGACAAATCAAGCACGCAGGACGCGAGAGCAAGGGGATGCCGAGCTCACTGAGCCCCTGGGTGTGTGATGGTGATGGGGACACAAAGCCTGCGGGGGGGGGGGCGAAGGGGAACGTAGAGGGGCTCAGGCACACACTCAGGAGCGCGGACAATGGAAGGGACGCGGAGGAGGCGGGGATCTGCGGTGCCCGGGCCGCGGCAGGTCAGCCGGGCGCCCGAGCAGAGGCGGACAACAAAGGGGGCGCGGGCGGGCGGGCGGGCGGCGGAGGGGACGCGGGGCGCGCGGCGGCTCCCACACCCGCACCCCCGGGCGGCGGAACAAAGGGCCGGGGGGCAGCGGAGTCGCGGGGGGCAGCGGCAGCGCCAGACAAAGCCCCGGGGCTCCGGGGGCAGCGGCGGGGCGGGAACAAAGCTGCGCTGCGCTGCTCTGCGCTGCGGGCCCGGGGTCCGCCGCGCCCGCCCGCCCGCCCGGCCTCGCGCGCCCGAGCCCGCTCCACCGCGGCGCACGCACGGCGAACCCCGCGCCGCTCCACCCCGCGCCGCCGCCGCCGCCCGCGTCCCCCTCCCCAGCCCCGGCGCGCCCCGCCGACCCCGGACCCCGGGCCGCCGCCCGCCGCGGGCCGCCGGACGCCCGCAACTTTCCCCGGGCCCCGGCGCCCGCCGGCCCCGCGGACTTACCCTGTCACAACAGGCGCCATCTTCCACAAACTCTCGCCAAAACTCCAACCCTCGCGAGACTCCCCCCGCCGCCGCCGCCGCCGCCGCCGCCGCCGCGTCTCCCGCTGCCCAGCGGCTGCCCCGCTCGCCCCGCCCCGCCCCCGCCCCGCGGCCTCGCCGATCGCAGCCGCCGCCGCCGCCGCCCGGGCCCCCGCGCCGCCGTCCCCGCCGGGAGCGCGCCTGCCGCCTCGCGCCCGCCCGCCCGCCCGCCCGCCCGCCGCCCCGGGAAACCTACCCGGGCGACGGAGCATGCGCACGCCGCCGCTCGGCGGGCGAGCCGTGCGCGCGGTCCATGGCGAGCGGGGCGCTCCGCTCGTCCGGGTTTTGGGATGCGCCGTCGGGCGCGGAGACTGAGGGAAGCCGCCCGAGGGGGGATTACTACGGGGAGCGCGGCCGCGGGGTCACGGGGCGGGGCCCGGGCGCTGCAGCAGCGGCAGCGGGAGGAGGAGGAGGGGGCCTGGGAAAAACGCGAGCGCCCCGTGCGCCGACAGGGGCGGAGTTCTCCGCGCGGCTCCACGCCCGCCGCCGGCCCCCGGGGCGCCGTCCATTCATTCGCCAGCCCGGCAGCTACGGCGACCCGGGGGTCGTCAGGTGCAGACCCCCGGGGCGGCGCGAGGTCAGCCCCCGGCCAGGGCGCCCCGGGTGTCCCGCTCGCTCGCACCAGAGCCCCAGTGCATGGTCCCCTCCTCCAGCCCCGAGTGCATGGTCCCCTCCTCCAGCCCCGAGTGCATGGTCCCCTCCTCCAGCCCCGAGTGCATGGTCCCCTCCCCACCAGCCCCGAGTGCATGGTCCCCTCCTCCAGCCCCGAGTGCATGGTCCCCTCCTCCAGCCCCGAGTGCATGGTCCCCTCCCCACCAGCCCCGAGTGCATGGTCCCCTCCTCCAGCCCCGAGTGCATGGTCCCCTCCTCCAGCCCCGAGTGCATGGTCCCCTCCTCCAGCCCCGAGTGCATGGTCCCCTCCTCCAGCCCCGAGTGCATGGTCCCCTCCACCAGCCCCGAGTGCATGGTCCCCTCCACCAGCCCCGAGTGCATGGTCCCCTCCCCACCAGCCCCGAGTGCATGGTCCCCTCCACCAGCCCCGAGTGCATGGTCCCCTCCACCAGCCCCGAGTGCATGGTCCCCTCCCCCAGCCCCGAGTGCATGGTCCCCTCCACCAGCCCCGAGTGCATGGTCCCCTCCACCAGCCCCGAGTGCATGGTCCCCTCCACCAGCCCCGAGTGCATGGTCCCCTCCACCAGCCCCGAGTGCATGGTCCCCTCCCCACCAGCCCCGAGTGCATGGTCCCCTCCCCACCAGCCCCGAGTGCATGGTCCCCTCCACCAGCCCCGAGTGCATGGTCCCCTCCTCCAGCCCCGAGTGCATGGTCCCCTCCACCAGCCCCGAGTGCATGGTCCCCTCCACCAGCCCCGAGTGCATGGTCCCCTCCACCAGCCCCGAGTGCATGGTTCCCTCCCTCCAGCCCCGAGTGCATGGCCCCCTCCTCCAGCCCAGAGTGCATGGTCCCCTCCACCAGCCCCGAGTGCATGGTCCCCTCCCCACCAGCCCCGAGTGCATGGTCCCCTCCTCCAGCCCCGAGTGCATGGTCCCCTCCCCACCAGCCCCGAGTGCATGGTCCCCTCCCCACCCCACAGCCGCCACACTGTGCACTGGGGAGCGAGCTTCCCGGCCCGGGATTCAGTGCACCCCGTGCGAGCGGCCCGGCCCCGGCCCCGCTCCCGCTCCCACCGCCCCCACCCACCAGGTGCACGGCGAGCCACGCCCCCGCCACGCCCCCTCCCCGCCCCCTCCCCGCCCCTCCGCTACCTGCGCTCCTCCCCGCCCCTCCCGGCCCTTTGCCTTTCCCAGAGATTCCCCCAGCTCCGCCGCCTCCTGCAGGGAGCCACAAAACACGGACAGCTGGACTGCGCCGCCCGAAACCCGCCTGCCTGCCCGCCCGCTCCGAGGCGCCGCAGGATTCGGGCCGGGGCGAGCAGGAGCGAGCGGGCGCGGGGCCAGGGCGCATGTGCGGCGCGGGCACCCGGGTCTCCCGCTGCACCTCCTCGCCGCCGCCTTCCAGCGCCCGCCCGGCTCAGACACAACACGAGCCGTGGGAAATTTAGGAAGCCTCGCGAGAACGCGCTCCACACCCCACCCCACCCGGACAGGTGCCCGCCCGGTGCGGCTGGGGCGCGCGTGCGCGGGCGGGGAAGGCAGTGGGCGCGTGGCGGGCAGGGCAGGGCAGGGCAGGGCAGGGCAGGGGCGGGCGAGCCAGCCGGGGACCCGGGGCTTTCCTGAGCTGCGCCAGACGCGGTGCGGTGACCCCCCACCCCCGGGAGGTGACAGGCGGCCCCGGGTCGGCTTTGACTCATGCATCTGAGTCACCTAGCCTGGCCTCCGCTCCTCTTCGCTTTGCAACTTCGGATCCCCCCTCCCCTGCCCCGGCAATGCGCGGTTTTCCTTTGTGGTGTGTGCTGGCCCCGGGAGCCCGGCCAGGCTCCGGGAAAGCTGAGCCTGGCGATCTGCATGGCACGTTCGCTCTGTCTCAGGAGGTCACGGTTCGAAAGCATCCCTCCGCTGCCTGTTCCTAAATTTAAGTGAATCCCTACACACAGGCTTCTGTCTGCCTCCCCTCTCCCCGGTGACTTAGAGATGCCGGCATCAGTTTCCTTCCCCTTTCCATGGGTCTGCAGTAAGAGTCTCATTTTAGGTATTACTGTTTCATCGGATATGATACGTTAGCGGCTGCCCAAGAGGTGTTAGAATATTGTTCAGTCAGCCACTGTTCTGATTGGCTCTGGCCTGGCACCGTAGGACTGACCAGTGTCTTACTGGCATCATAGACCCACAAATGTCAGGCTTGAGCTGGGGTTTGATGTTTAAAGGACACCGACCTCCCCAGTCCCTAGTAGCTAATGTCATCTGGTTCTACTACGGACAGAAAAGTCGATCTTTTGCGTTTTGAAGGTTTGTAGGGGTGGATGGTACGGGTTTGCCTGTCACTTTGGTTATTCAATTTACTTCATGTAAAAAAGAATGCATGTCCCCGTTCCACTTTCTTTGGGGTAAAAAGAAGAAGAGGAAAAATGTATGGCCTTTTAATAGGCAATGTGTAAACAAGTCTCATCCAGACCAGAAAAGTGCTGCAGAAGGGAAATGTTTTAAACATTTCCTCAGAACTGTCATCCCAAGGATTTGCAGACATGGTGTAGTCTGTGACACTAATGTTGGACCTATGCCATCGAAGACGCTGGAAAACGCTGTTAGTCATAAATCTAATGTCAACTCATCAGCTCCACCTACAATGTTGTCCTTCCTCAATAGAGGCAAATCCTTCCATCTCACTTAAGAGGATGGCCTTGAAATTACTTTTTCCTCACTCGCCCAGAATTGAATCAGCAAGAAAATACTAATAATAAAAGTCATGCTAGTTATATGTATTAGTCTACTTTCAAATGTAAGGAAGGGGAGTTAATATTGCTCCAGCTTTGGAGGGTGCAGGAGCATGATGCCAACTCACATCTGCTTGGCTGTGGTGACTCGCCCTTAGCAGACGATGCCACAGTAACTTTAGTATGTGCATGCAGAGGAGGGTACATCAGCGGGAAGAGCAGAAACCAAAGACAACAGGAACCAGGCTTGTCTCTAGCATCACTTTTTTACCAGTGTGGGTGAGCACAGGCCTACATGCCAAGGTCAGAGGACAACTTGCTGAACCTGTTCTCTCCTCCTGGTGGGTTCCAGGGGTCATTCTTTGGTTACCAGACTGAATGCCCTAATTACCTGCCACAGGGCCCAACTTCTCAAGTTACCTCTTCGAAGCCCCAGACTGCACGCACACGAGCCTGGACCACAGGTGAAGTGTGTTCAAACCACAGAACTGTACTTTCAAAGCAGACCTAGATCCTCACCCTCTCTACCTCCTTAGCTACGAGCCTCGTCTAACTCAGTGTCCCACCTGGTTTTGGGCGGCCTCCTAAGTGATACTTCCTCTCCTTACATCCTGTTTTTTCTCAAGTTATCACAATCCGATGCCACATCGATGCCACTCGCTCGGTGTGCTGTTTACACTCTGACTCTCCTCATTATGATGACTGCTGTTGGGAATAAGGAGTTCCATGTCTTTTATTCATTCTTCAAGCATCGGTTCCTGGAACACTGCCTGACACTCAGTATTTGCAGGGGGTGGGGGGTAAGGGAGAGGTAGAGAGCCCGTCATATTAGGACAGAGTAGAGACAATTTTAAGCGATGGAAGGAAGATGCATTGAAACGGGGAAGGGAAGAAAACCATTTTGAGTTAGACCAGTAAACGAAACTAAGTTTTCCTACTACCGTCTACATAAGCCTCTCAAGAAAGGAAAATGCTTTTAATGGACAATAAAGAAACAGATATTTTCATGGGTGGCTTGTGGGAAACAGTCTCTGGAAACTGGGCGTATTGTCCCTGCATGTTAACCATACAGCTCTGTAGTTTATGCTACAAGTATACTAACCCATTTGTTACACTACCTATGTATTATAGCACTTCTGGTAATGAAAGAAAGTACTGGGAGCCTCCTGCGTCTCAGTGAGAATGGTTTTCTCTGTATTGGTATGTCTGAATGCAGGCATGTGCATAGAGACCAAAGGACAATTAACTGTCAGTGGCTACCTGCCATGTAGTTTAGCAGGGTGTCTTTGTTGTCCTTCCCCTGCAAACTCCACGCAAGCTGACCTGTGAGCATCCAGGGTTTCTTGTCCCCGCCTCCCATTCTCCCCCTAAGAGTACGGGGGCTACAGATGGTTGGAGTGGGAGCCTGCTTTAACATGGGTTTGGGGGATTGGAACTCGGGTCCTCACAGAGCAACTGTTTTTACTCATTGAGCCTTCTCAGTCCAATGCTTTGTTTTAAATAAAAAAAAAATAACAGACTGTAATAGTATGTATTTGTTTATAAGTAAAAATGACTCTTTGGGTACTTAGATTGAAGGATCTCTTAGTTTCAATAACAGTAATATATATCCGTTTCTGGAAACAATGCAATAGTGTATGCTCTGCTACTAAGCAGAAACTAGTTATTATGTACTTATGTGGAAGAATCTCATAGTTGTAACAAAAGCAAAC